GAATTATAATCCCTTAACACCCCCCCCCTTATCATCAGGTATGTCCAATATTGGTTTGTGACGAAATACCTGCACCACTAATGATATTCACATCGGTCTCGACTGTACTTCGTCTTTAGCACTAATTAGCAATTGCTAACATGCTAACATTTGTAACTTAGATAGGGAGCATGGTAAATATTACACCTGCTAACATGGTAGAACATCGATGTTAGCATTTAGCTCAAATCACTCAAGGACTCCCTCACAGAGCAGATAAGATACATTCTTCTTAGATGATAAAAGCAACAGGTGGATGCAGTTTTTGTACCATTGCAAGCAGCCAAGGAAGCTAACAAAAACATGACTTGGAGTGTTTGTTCTGCCTTACAATAAGTATGTTTGACCACCCCTTAAATGGACCAAGGCATGAATTTGGGCAGAGAGAAGCAAATCATCCCATGGCTGGGAATTGGTTTTGTGTGGCCACTGGCCGCCAGAGGAGCTTGTTTAAACAGACCCAGACTGAAAGACTTAATGACCATGCTGACAGGAGTCATACGAGATGTCTAGTGAGGCTGGTGTTCTGTGGCTGAGAGGGAGAGAGAGTCCTACAGCTGCAGAGAGAAAGGGAGGGATGTTGCGGTCGCCATCTCTTTATGTAAGCTCCAGAGGAAAGCGGCGCACAGGATTCATTTTTAAATCTGACTTCAATATTTGTTCTCCCACCAAACCTAAACCAACATGAATATAGGATATACAGTCCCATGGCAGCCTGCTGTGTTTTTCTTGCTACCTCAAACGTGTTCTACCATTTGCTCCAATGTCATTTCAATTAAACATTAGCATGCGGACAGAGACCAGCTCAAACTTAAAAGTAGGTTTTGGTGTTTTTGTAAAGTAGTGGTGAGTTTGGATTGCATCCTAAATATAATCACACATATTTCACAGTAAATTTTGCTGATTTGATATATTCCCCAAAACCTATAAACTACCTACACGTGTGTAACACGTGCTGACCGGCAGTGAATAGAAAAGACAGTAGCGGAAAAGGTGGTTCCGCCACAAAGAAGCAACCTCTGAATGTTTTGCTCAAGTGATCACAAGAAAATTGAAAAGAGACACTTTTATAACTGAACTGATATTTTGGGAAGTTATTATAATTCCTAAAGAATACTTCGAATAGTTCAGTAATAGGCACTGTACTTCACAGGTTCTCAGCCGTGATTCTCTGGGTGATTCTTATCTTCAGCTCCTTCATTCCCCGGGGTTTAACCCTGCAGAAGAGACCACATGTGCATGAAATGTCCTCAGGTCTTTGGGCCTCTTTATCTGATAGAGACTTGGTCAGCTGCTACGTTTTGATCTCTCTAACGTGGACCAGGCCAAAGTACAAAAGCTATGAAGATCCTCATCGTCTGCACTCACTGTGCTCTATAGACAGGCTCACTGTAGAGTTACAAAACCAAACATTTTCATACATTTTTCTTTTTTTCTACTAGGCATAAAAGTAGCTGGCCACATACAGTAGAGTTCAATCATAAAATGATAAATATGACAGTAACATAAAATATTCAAATTTGAATAGATTTTGATATAAGAAAAATAGCGAACATTTCTAATAATTACCTTTGTTTTTCATGTTCATGGGTTTTTCAGTTAGATGGCCAAAACATTTGTGAAAACAATTAACTGATGCAAATTATGAACTACTCCTGCAGACATACTGCAAGGAGACAGTAAAACAGTTACACATGCAATAAATGATTGTTTGTGCCAAGCACGAGTTGTAAACACAACTTACGTATCGCATTTTAAGTTTGTCAGCCATTTTATGTCTGGAGACAATGATAATGAAAGTGTTGAGAATAAATCAAAACAGGAAAGTTGTGGGCTCTAAAACCAAAACAATGAGCCAAAAGGTGCTAAAAAGCTTTGTTTGTTGCTCACTATGATCGATCCCTTGCACAGAACACATAGTAATTTGATCCACTGACATATAAATATCCATTAGAGCAGCTTTAAGGCTAGTGACATCATGGCTGCATTCTGCATAACAGAATATAAAGCCTGGCAAGATCGGTGATAGAACTCAAACAAATGGGACAGAGAAGAGAAAGCATGAGTCTGCAGAATAGAAGCAAACTTCTGTTGGTGATTTAAGACTTCCCAGTCTGCATACCCATGGCTATCATCCACATTCCAGCCTATAAGCGAACAAGATTAAATAGTTTTGGAGCGGGATGCTGGCTGCCCTTCCTGCTGTGGTTAGTGCAATCGCCTTCAAAAGAAAATCACAAAGGTTATTGTGATGAAACCGTTTCCCTATGCTTTGGGAAATCTGTTTCACTTTATCTCAAAGGTCAATGATTCAATGGTTTGTCCCAGACCAGGTTTGTACCAGTATGACCCCCGCTTTTTAAGAATGCCTTCATATGAGAAGTTTAATAATATGATGTCTGTCTTCACTTCTGGGCATCTGGTTATTGTGAGGAAAGAAACAGGTTGATTCAGCAGCTGCCTTTAAGCAACAAAGACATATCATGTGGGATGCACATGATGGATGTGACATGAAGACGAGCACGACGCGAAAAGTAGCTGCTTCATACAGCATTACACACCATTACACAGCTAAACTGAAGCACACGATACATCCTAAAGAGCCGACTTTCCCCAGCCTTCAGGAAGTGATGGGAGAAATAAACATTGTCAGCTACTCATCTTTTTCCTCCCAGTGTCCAATTTTAGTTTTTCGTCTCAGCCCAAAGCTGGCATGGGGTCAGCTATGGGGTTAGCATTAAGGTGAGATTTCAACATGTGTTTGATTTAGTGCTTCCTGTCTTTGCTCTGTGTGTCCCCATAATCGGTCTCCTCTGTGGTATGTAAACTATCATATTCTGAGCTACATTTTGTTATTTTCCCCTCTAGGATTACATTTTTCTTAAGATCCACATGTGGCTCATAAAAGTCTATAAAATTAAGTAAGTACAAATTATGACTAGCCCTCACATAACCAAAGCCACATTTCAAAAGGTTCATCAATCAGAAAATGACCTTTCTGATGTGCGTGTGTCTGCATATATCTGTGAAAATTTGCATATGTGACTTTTGACTTAACAAGTGTGTGGGCTCATCAGCACACGCTCCTGTCAAGTGCACACATGTGGAGTGTCTTTCCAATCATGGCTTAGATTCCAGCTTTTCCACGACTGCGACAGATCCAAACACCAGTCAGTCAGTCACCCGGCCCTGCAGCGAGGCGTGATTCACTTAGCGCTGCGTGACTCAAAGCCCCTTTCCCTGCCTCCTCATGTCCTTCCTCTCACTCCCACTGTCCTCTGTGGAATTGGGCTTGCCATTTGACCTACTGCCAGTTTGGATGCGCTCCCCCAATGGTCAGCTAAGGGATCGTATACAGCCTGTCTACATAGCAACAGCTTGTGGACATACGCTCCGAGGCACACACATGCAAAAATGACAAACAGATGGCTGTGAAAGTGATGTGCATTTTCCCAATTGAAATGTTTAGTTGCCCTTTATTGATACCATATACTGTTCATCAGTATTGATCAAAGACGGGTCTGAAAATCACTGTGATACAGGCACAACACTGTCAGCTCTAACGAGAATCAACATGTGCAGATTGTTGCTTTTGGAAAGCGAAGAATTGACTCCTTCATGAGGTGGCAGACGAAAAAAAAAAACTCAGTGAAAATCCTTCAAATTGGTCCAGCAGTGATGAAAAAAAAACAAAAAAAAAAAACACAAGTTGCCAGGTCCCGCTGAAGTATCACACAAACACTGAGCCCAAGCAGGCGGGTCCTATGCCGGGTGTTAAAGAGGACCAGATGATGGGGCGAAGGTGTTTTTAGCTATGGGGTTTCCGATAGCCATATTTTCTGAGAAGATGGGAAGAGAGGAGGAGAGCTGCAGATGTTGAGGCTTGTTCTGCTGCCCTGAGGTCTTATTTGTGCTCGCCTCAATTCAGATTGAGCACTAACTGACAGTGATTACACAAGATCGGCTCCACAGCTCAGCCTTTGTGGGTTCCTTTATTCACTGATCTCTTTGGACTTGCCACTGCAGCATATTTTAAAATGGGGTGTGAAGTGAACCCCTGGACAGAACGCACCCAGGGTGAGACTGAGTTGAAAGAAAATGACCTCAGAACTCAGTGACCAAAAGTTTGCGCTGAGAATTTCCAGTGAGACACGTTTTCTCCCAAGTATGCTGTAAAAAAGCTTTCCTTTTCCTCTCCTCGTGAGCCTTGAACTAATTTCTTCACTTTCTCATCAGAGCTGTGCAGCAGATTGTAAGAATATAATAAAAGCAGTCACCAAAGTTAAATGAGAGGGAAAGTTCGTCTGGCCAGTACACAGAAGCATGGTGTCATGTGGGCCTGGGAGCCAAACACCACAGAGCAGCTCACACACAGGGAGGGGTGTCCAGTCTCTATATCCCACAAGAACCAGAAAAGTCCCCTTAAACATTTGTAATAGCCCACATCAGGCCATTCTGTGTAACGCTAGCCAACATCCAACAATAATATCTTCATTATCAGTAACTGTTGTTAATGGAGAGCTCAACAAAATTAACCACCCGGAGTCATACTTTACACTTAAGTGATAATTTGTGTTAATGGGTGAGCAATTACAATTGAGAACAATCAGCATTCACTCAGAGCATGGCGAAGCTTTAGAGTTTCATCTGAAATCAATCCGGACATCTTTATTCAATCATGTCCCTGGTATCAACCTTCAGCACAGTCTCTCCTGGGCTTGGTTGGTATCCAATCCAACACCCCCCCAAAAACTGTTTGTAGCAATAAAAGAGTTTCTGGCATCGGTCTGTAAACTTTATAATCAAGGAACGATGTGTCCTCTTGCGATAATATGTACTGAATATTCTTCTGTGGAAAGTAATCAACACCGCTTTATGCATTCGATTAATAGTTAAAAGTTTTGGAAGTATGCTTATTCACCTTTTTTTGACAAAAAAAAACAAACAGCTTATACACACACCTTGCCGTTGTTGTGTATGTGGTGCGTTGTGTCGGCCCCGCACGGATGTCCCTGCTTCGTGGAGAGCGCCGTGGACCTTTGACCCGAGCTGTGCTGACTTTTGTTGGCGCACTTCACTGCCGTCCACTGCTGGAAGTGAACGATGGATGAAAAACTGCGTGTTTCTGAAATATGCAGACCAGACAAAAAAGGATATCTATCAAGCGAAACATCAACAAGCAGTTGCTCTGGAATGTGACAAACTCCTGCTAGCAACATTAGTATTGTTAGCTAAGGCGCCGCCAGGAAATCTGGAGTGGTAATACTGCACTGACCAACAAGGAACTGTAATGTACTGTTTTGTTCTGTAATGTGAATATGCTTTTAGATAAGAACTTCTTGGACTCAGTAATTATTGCACATGGCAGTCCACACAACAGCCTGGCACAGTAAAGTTAAATATCTTGCTGAGAAGTTGGAGGTGTACAGCTGGTCACCTGCAGCTCTTTTCGTATTTTGAATTTCCCCTGTGTAATTCGCACAAATTAGAGGGCTGAACCTGTCCGTGCGAAAGGGTAACAAAACACACTGTTGCTCTCTATCTGAACACACAGTAACAACTCACTGCAGCTGGTTCTTCTTGTTCCATTACTACATGTGGCATTTGCTGCCAAGAAATGCTGAAAATGATGGTTGTCATTGTTTTGTAGACACAGTTGCGATGAACAGTCGCGATTGTCCTAAACTCTATGACAAATACTGTGTATTTCCTGTGAATGTGTCACAACAGTTGTCTTAGCAGCAGTAAAAACTACTCCGTTTGCATTAGCAGAAACTTCATATATTTCTGATTTGGTGTTAGAAGAGTAAAGAGTAAGCAGTGAGGCTGTTATTGGTGAGATAAAGTTTCAAACAGCATGCTGGATTACATGCACATCGTTTCCTGTGAATCACTTACGTGTAGGTGGTAATTTGAATTCAGGGCAGACTCTACCACTAAGGCCGGGAACACACTGGATGCGTGACGTGAGCGTGGCGGCTGATGTTGCTCAGCTGCTGCGGAGAATCACGCGCGTGTGTGTTCACACTGGCTACGTCTCTGCTGCGTTGATACAGTGTGTTCCCGGCCTGGATGCATTGATTTTCACTTCGGTGCCTATGTTTACGGATTAGAGCGCACACACCTGCTGACACATGAGACTCAGCCTCTTGCTTATTTTTATGCGCCGCGCGCATCTCCCGTTAAAAATAGAGATAAAAGACATCAGCAGGTTGACCAGCAACATTACACAAAACTGACTCCTACCTCTATATTTTCTGTCTAGGCTGAATCTGAATATGATAAGGACATGAAAAATGTAGCTATATTTTTTAACCACTTGCGCAGCTGCATGTGGAGACAGACACATTTTAGTGACGTTTTCTGACAAAAATGAATCAGAAATGAATTAACAATTAAAATAAATCCAACATTCCAGTAACCTGCAAACTCTATGTAGACGGATAGAGCTGCAGCAGCAGAGACGCAGCCAGTGTGAACACACGTGCGTGATTCTCCGCAGCAGTTCAACAACATCAGCCGCCACGTTCACGCCACCACTGTGTTCCCTGCACTACACTGAACACTGCTTATATCCTCACACGGCCCGCCGGCCCGTGTACGGCTTGAACGGTTGTCAGTATAGACAGGCTGTACCTCAATCAGCTAGAGTCTCCAGAATTCAAATATTCAGTTCATTCTGCGCTAACCGTTAGCACATAAATATAATTTATTAATATCTACCAACATTGTTTACCAGCACTCCCGATTTTCTCTCCATTTCTCCGTTATCTGTATTCCTTTAGTCCGTAAGGGTCCACAGGTCACAAAAATCAAAAGGGTTCCTTATAAAAAGTATTCCAGGTTATGAATATCTTCATCTTATTTCTGCTTCTCCTCTCTCTGTCCCTCGGGGGCATCTGCTGCGGTGTTTGCGGGTCTGCTATTGTTTACAAAATGGAGGCCTCCCTGTGAAGATCAAAGATCCAATCACATTTCACTTCAGGGTCACATGGCAGGGAGCATATCACGTAATGACGTTCTCCGTTGAAAAAAACCCTTTTTTTTCACAGCTTTTCTGAATGACTCTAACTTGTTGAAGACGTCTCCCCTGACCAATCAGAGCACACTAGGGGGGTGGGCACTTCAGAGGCAAGGCCAATAGCCTGAGTTTATGACGCAGACAAAGGTCAGCTCTATTTTGAATTATTCCAAAAGGTTTCTTAGGCGTCAAAATGCTTCAGTATGTTTTATATTATTTTATATTAAAGAGTTAAAGCACATTTCTCTCAGTTTTTCATTTAGAGAGGTTTATGGGCACCAGTGAAAAGGTGAACTATAAAGGCTTACTAAACTAAACTATTAGACCTAGAGGCCTTGAAGATTCACAGTGCAGTTTTTGACTTTAAGTATTGTGGAACTTTTTCTTTGTTTTGTTCTTGTATAAAGTATATCTTGTTCATAGTTATGTAATATGACCTTCTTTTTTTTTTGCAGGTGACTGAAAAATACTAAAAAATAACATGTATGAGCTGATGTAGTTTCAGTTGGGTTGTAGTCACATGCAAAACAAGCATATTTCCAGAAACTAGAATATGTTACCTTTCAAATGAGGTTTCATAAATGCATTACACTTTATATCTGCAAATTAGGTTTAAAACAGGTTGACTCCAAGAGGATATAGAGAGGTAAAGAATGAAAATACATTGGTTGGCTATTGTGGGAAAGAGACAGACCATAAATACTGTCAAATACAGAGTTTGGAAGTTAAGGATTATAATTTCAATTGCATACACTACACAATTTGCATTATACTGTGAAGAACACAGCTCCCTATTGGGAAGAGTATGCTTCTACTTGAATTAATGATTTTAATTTCTCGTTATGGGTTAATTCTGCAAAGCTTTTAGTCATTAGAGACTATGTCACCTGAGGGCAGGAATGATCTGTTGAACAAAACCGTGCCCAGTCATCCTCAAAGTTAATCTTTTGGATCAATGAGAGTCTTTGCTTCAGGCAACATCAACCACTATTGAGCTGAAAAACAAAAGTGCCCTGTGCTCTAATACTAAAACGTCTTCAGCTTGCCAAAGTCAATGAAGCCAGAAGGTTGAACAAGAGGCTCCAAGCAACAATTAATACGTAATGTAGAGATTTTATCTTCCCTTTCTCCAGAAGGTAAAACACATTTGGTTCTTTCCACTGGCTTTGCTTTTACTTAAGTAACTGAGGACAGATGCGGTGGAGCGATAAACTACACAAGAAGAAGTGGAGAAGGGCCTTCGGGTAGGCCCAGCAGTTCTCCACCTGGAAAACAAAACAGGTGAAATGGTGTCTCCAAGAACCAAGGCTGTATTTTCCACAAAGCCCTGTGGATAAACATCAAGCACAATGGGCTGTCTGACAGTGAGCTGTCAGTGGGCAGTGACAGATCCAGGCTCTCATCTCCACTGTCATGGCTGCCTGGTCAAAATAGAAGGGACAGCAGATTCCATAGAGACTCCTCAAATAAGCAGCACACGGCACGACACCTCCCCTCACAGGAAAACGGGAAGGAAGATGAGATGGAGCGAGACAGAGACCTGACTGTCCTTTCAGCCAGTGGAATGGGAAAACTAAACACCTCGGTTTAAACATTCAATAATGGAAGCCACTCATCCGTACTCAACAGCTCTGACAAAAACGGATATCTCCCTTTTGTTTTTATGATTCATTTTTGCTCTATGCAGTAAAACAGAAAAAGAAAGTACAAGAATTCGCTGGAGACTCCAACTCCAAAACAAAGTTGACCATATCCTCTTTTCCAAGACCCAGTACAGCTGCTTCGTAAAGGTTACTTTTTTGGCCATGCTAGCAGCATGGCTTCTCAGGATGGATATCCCTAGGAAATCAGCCCATCACTTTGGTCCATACTGAAATATTTCATTAACTATTGGATGGATTACCATACAATTTTCTCCAGATGTAAACAGTCCACACAGAGTGAATCATACTTGGTTTGGTGATTCCCTGACTTTTGCTCTAGTGCTACTGGAAGGTTTGACTTTTGGATGGATTGTCTTTAATTTTGAAATAGAAAAGGTTATTTCAGTCATATAGATGGGGGAATATGTTGACCCCATGTTTCCACTGGTTTTTTTTATGTCACCTAAGAAATATAAGTGGGACTCTTAATATAACACATAGCAGCTAATGAGAAGCCAAGTCGCTGTAAAAATAATGTATGGAGGTCCTCAAAGAGTCACTGAGGCTTTTGCCTCTTAAGAGTGAGTGTTATTGTAAACCCCTGCCCCGCTGTCGGGGCCTGTTTCCTGCTGATGTAGGTGGCCTCAGAGAGAAAAACAGCACTGATTTCTATGATGTACACCTTCACTGGCTTCTATTGGGGAATGAACTCTTGAGAGGAGGCAGTAAAATGAATTTGCAGCATAGGTTGAAAACACAGGGTTTGTTTAAACAAAAATCCAAAACATGTAAATTACAAATCGACTTACGTTAACAAAAATCTAATCATCATAGATCTTATCATTACAAGCCTTTATGCCGGCAGTGAATATGTCTATAAAAGGGCAAAGGGGAAGTGATGTTGTCAGAGAGTAACGATTCGGCAGCTGGTCTCCTGTGGAATCCTGGGCGATATTGGGGATGACGGAGACCAGCTGCTGCTGACTCAGTGACTCATTTTTACCTCAGCAGGGAGAAGGAGGGAAGGAGAAAGGGAAATGGCAGAGCAGTAACTCGCGCCCAGACAAAGAACAGACACAGCCAGCTCCGGCAGGGAGAGTGGCCAACATAACACTTCACTAAACAATTTTAAATCTGCTATATCAGTTTGTACCGTCCTTTTCCTCTGGCACTGGACTTTGATCATACTGCAATGCAATCATTCGGTTTATAAACAAGATATGATGGAAACAAAGTCATCATAAAAGTATTCATTTTTTGGTTATTTCAGTAATTAGTGTGGGATATCTGGAATGTGAAACTTCGGAGAAAGAGTTTTGCATGTAGCCTTCAGCCATCTTTGTGGCCAAATGACAGCGACCCAAATATTTGTTTCTCTTTCTTCCCTTTCTCTGTCCCTGTTTTGTTCTACAAACTACATGTGCAAGCTTGTGCTGTGTCTGGATATTGGCTTTAGCAATAATTTCATGTTCTGACAGATGAAAATGGATCAGCGGTTCACAGTCCCGACACTCAGGCTTCGGATAAAGGTTTGGAAAACAAAGTGGTACAGACTACTTCGATACTTGGACAGAGAGAAAAATAGCTTACAATCATTACAATACTGCTCAAACAAAAGTAGCAAAGTAGCCTTCAAAACCTCTATTGAAGCTAATGTGTATAACACTACTACTTACAGTTATATTGTATCTGCAGGTTGAAAGACTTATCTCTAAGTACGTTCTCCAACTTTTTCTATAATTTTTAAACTAAGTTATGTACTGTTATAAAGATTAAACCTGCTCTGATCAATATTAATAATATATATAAACATATATTCATTAAGTCGCCTGAGACACAACTCCAAATGACTGCTCTGTATAGGCTGGATGCATGAAAAGGCAACTGTCCACTAACACGTTAGCTACATCAACTATATAAGATGTCAATGTTGAGCTTACACAGCTTGTAATGCTACCTCAAAGCTACCTTAAAGTGGCCAAAATCAACTGCTGCAGGAGTGATGCTGTCAAATTGTGACTTTCATCGACTGTTTCCTGGAAGAAGAGGGAAAATTGTTTACAGAATACTTACGACGAAGAGACAGACAGGGCAGACAGTTTGATTTGTCATAAGTGGAAAAGCACAGTTATGCTTTATAGCATTAGTGACAGCTTTGTTGCATGAAGCGTCCCAGTAAGCTCTTTCTAGTGATGCAGCATGCACAATACCAGGAACATGGAAATGGCTCACCTAAATGGAATGCAGCCACTGTCAGTGTTATTCATTACACCTGCGCTTCCCCTGCGCTGACATGTCAAAGGTCTTGTCCTATACTGACTGCATCAAAACACTATAACCCTATCTTCCCCTTTCAGAAGTAGTTGGAGAAATAAAAATAGATTCATAAGTACAACAAGTGCATGAAGAAGCTCAGTTTAGTCAGTTTAACTCAGTAAGCACTGTTGACAGCATCTGAACCCAATCAAATACATGAACTCTGGCACACCTCAGAGAGCCCCGCACACACCACACACACACACACACAACACACACACACACACACACCGCACACACACACACACACACACACACACACAAACACACGCAAAATGTACCACAAATATGTTACAGATCTCTTTCCCTGTTGAATCCGGGAAAAGAGCATCTTACTCCCGTAAGATTATGATTATTAAAGTATTCAATGGCTTTTAGATCTGATCGGGTGTTCCACTCTGATGTACCAGATGTTTTATTTCACGCCTCTAAAGTGGTAAATCCTCACCACAGAGAGTCTGGGAGTGTATGTGTAGGTATCTTTGAAGATTAATCCAAATGATAACAGTCTTGACTTGGTGCCCCCCCTGCACTGTTTGCCATCCATAAATAAAGTGAGACTGTGATTACAGACGCGTTGTTTTTGATTAAATTCTTCCCAAAACTGGGAGCAGATCATTCTGAAACGCCATCTTAATCATCATTGGACAATACAATGAAATGTTGCGGTGGCTCAGTAGCATATTTCCAGCTACCACAATGAATATGACTCTGTTTGAGCAACAATCAATCAATGTGCATTCAGTGAGCAAAAACTCCCATTACGTCAGCCGTGAATGCATTGGAAAAAAACTCTTAATAT